GGCAGTACCCACGGAGGACAGAAGAGGATGTTTGATCCCCTAGAAATGTTACAGTGTTAACCACTGTGTGGGTGGGTGCTGGGAACTGAACCTGGGTCCTCTGCAAGAGCAATAAGTACTCTTAACTGCTGAACCCTCTCTCTATCCCCTTCAGGATGTATTTCTAGAAGTGGGATTGCTGGCTCAAATGGCAAGTGTGTGTGCAAGCTTATTAGGTGTCGCTAGATTCTCCTGAGAAGTGTACTGCTGTAAATTCCTGCAGCTACGTAAGAGAGAATCCACTTCCTCAAAGTTTCACTATCAAAATGTGTTGGTAGACTTTTACAATTTTTTTGACAGCTCACAGATAAGAAGTGATAGCTTGGTGTTTTAATTTGTGATTCTCTAATTATAAGTGAGTTTCAGCATTTTCTTGTATGTTTGAAGGCCACTTTATATCTTTATACCTTCTTTTTAAAAGTTTATTATTTTTATTTTATATGTGTGCATGTATTGCCTGCATGTAGGTAAGTGTGCCCGTGTTGTGCAATGCCCTCAGAGGACAGAAGAGGCTGTCAAATCCCCTGGAACTGGAGTTATAGACAGTTGTTAGCTGCTGTATGGGTGCTGGGATTTGAACCTGGGTCTTCTGCAAGAGCAGTCAGTGTTCTTAACCTCTGAGCCATCTCTCCAGCTCCAACTTTCTATCTTTTTTAAAACAATCATTTTAATTTTTTTTACTAAGTAGTAACTGTTTTGTTTTTTTTTTTCAATTCAAATAGGTCATATTCTGTGGTAAAGAGGGTTAGGACTTTGGTGTATACATTTTGAGGGTGAGGGGACTATACCCTCATATAATAGTTCATATAACACTTTGGAAGTGTAGCCTAAAGGTATTAATCTTTTCTTTAGAGATTTAGAACTAGTAGGATTTTAGTGAGTGATAGCTTCTCAATAGGTGTCAGCATTGACATGCAGAATGTCAACATGTGTATAGACAGGTTTGATGCTAAGAAGAGGCTGTCTTCAATATAATAGTGTGAATTTCACAGTGTCTTATCTACATCTAGGTGCCAGAGTCTCCAGAAGACCTTGGGTGTACCCTGAGACCTGAGAGTGCAGGGATGGTGTATGAAGCTGCCACTGTGGAAGTAGATGAGTCTGAGTCCATCACACTGCAAGTGCTGGTTACCACCCCAGGGAACATTTCCTGCTTCTGGGTTTTTAACCACAGCTCCCTGGACTGCCAGCCACACTTCGATTTACAAAACAGGTGAGAGTGTATGTAAACTGCAAATATTTCAGGGCCAAATTTTCTTGCATAAAATGTAGTTAATTTGGGGGCCAGGTATGGTGGTGCATGCCTTTAATCCCAGCACTTGAGAGGCAGAGGCAGGCAGATCTCTGTGAGTTCAAGGCCAGCCTGGTCTACACAGTGAGTTCCAGGCCAGCTGGGGCTACAGGGAGACCCTGTGTCTTTAAAAAAAAAAAAAAATGTAGTTAATTTGGAATTCCTTTGTTGTTGTTTGTTGTTTTTACTTGCCCAGGCTGGCTTCAAACTCTTCTGTCTCTGCCTCCCGAAAGCTGAGATTATAGGCATGTAGCACCATACTTGGCTCAGAAATCCTCGTCAAGTTTCTGCCCCTGTGTATTGTAACTTTTTTAAAAAATATTTTATCTATTATTTTTATTTTATGTATATGAGTGTTTTGCTTGCATGTCTATAAGTACACCACATGTGTGCAATGCCCTGCAGAGACCAGAAGAGGATGGATGTTGGATCCCCTGGAACTGGAGTTATAGATGTTGTTAGTCACCATGTGGGTGCTGGGACTCAAAGCTGGGTCCTCTGAAAGAACAGCAAGTGTTCTTAACTGCTGAGTCATCTCGCCATCCCTTCTTTTTTTTTTTTTTTTTTTGAGACAAGGTCTCCCTGTAGCCTCAGCTAGGCTGGAACTCACTATGTAGACCAGGCTGGCTTTGATCTCACAGAGATCCGCCTGCCTCTCCCTTGGGAATGCTGCGATTAAAGGCATGAACCACCATCCCTATCTGTATCCTAACTCTTATCTCTAGTGACTAAATAATAAACTAAATGTCAAATTAGGGTGAAGACACATGACCTTATCTGTCAGTCCCATAGGATGTACAGCACAAGGGAAACTTCATGTCACCTGGAGACTTCAGTTGATGATAAAGAATCGATATTGGTTCAGTTATAACAAACTATACAATGTCTAAGGTATCAATAGCATGGGAGAATGTGTGTGAGGAAGACGTGTTTGGGATTGCCCTGTACTTTAAGCCAAATTGTTCTGCAAATCTGAAACTACTCTGAAAAGTAAACTATTAATTTTAAAAGTTTATGTACATATAAATCACATAATTATGTAGATTTATGTAGGGGGAGTGGGAATGGGGAGAGAGCCACGAATGTGAAGTAGCTGGCAAAATGTAAAACGAATCGAGAAAAGATTACTGATGATTTTTTAGTGTCAAATAGTTTTAAGATTTTTTTTTATTTATTTTGATTTTATGAGTGTTTTGCCTGCATGTGTCTGTACCATGTTCATGCAGTACCCATGGAAGCCATAAGAGGGCGTCAGACTCCCTGGAACTGGAATTAAGAACCATTGCTAGCTGCCTTGTGGGTGCTTCATGGATGCAGAGAAGGCATTCTTCCCAGGAACCAGTGGGTTTTCCAGCCTCTAGGCTTTGGCACAGCAAGGCAGCTGTGTGACAGACTTCTACCAGTCATGTATTTTCATTTGTTCTTTACCATCAAACAAACTCTTGAGTGATTTGTAGGACAGGCGGTATAATTCTAAAGTTCAGTTCCAAATCTTGGAACACGTTGATTTTCCTTTCCTCTTTTGAGACTATTACTTCTGCTTTTGGGTTTTTTTTTTTTTTTAAGTGATTTATTTATTTTTAGTTGTACAAGTGTTTTGATTGCCAGGGTGTTTACTGGTATGCGTGTAGTGCCTGCAAAAGCCAGAAGAAGATGACAGAGCTGCCATGTGAGTGCTCGGAATTGAATCTGGGTCCTCTGGAAGAACAGCAAGTGCTCTTAACCCCTGAGTCGCCTCTTTGGCCCCTGCTTTTCCATTACTTTTTCCTTGGAGCTAAACCAAAACACTCTTCTGTAAAGAAATTTGGCTTGGGGACAAGAACTGTAGTTCAGAAGGCTGCTTGCCTAGCATGCATCGAGCCCTGGCTCCATCTCCAACAAAACATTTGGACAGTCTTACTAAAATTTTGTTTCATGAGCCCATGGGGGTGTGCACTTTATTAAAGGGATTACCCAGCACTCTGGAGGCAAAGGCAGGTAGATCTCTGTGAGTTGGAGGCTAGCCTTGTCTACATAGAGATTTCTAGGCCAGCCCAATGCTACATAGTGAGACCCTGTCTCAAAAAATAATAGTAATAATAACCTGATTGAGCTCCTCTGCTCCCCAAACAACAACAAACACCCAAAGTAGCAAAACAGGGTTCTTTTGTTTCCTGGCTTGGGGCACATCTAGTCCCAACCAAAGGTACAGATATTCTGTAGGTTACTTAACTTAGTACAATAAAAAGCTGTAGATGATTATATCTGGATTGTGGCTTATGGGAAGAAAGACTGAACACCTAACATTTGAGAGCTCACAAATGAAAGCCACGGGTGGTGCTCACTGGCAGAGCACTTGCATAGCATGTGCAAGCCCCGGGTTCATCCCCAGCATTCCAAACACACAAACAAAAGGTCACAAATGATACTAAGAGGGTAAATGGTTCTGAGAAAGAAGGTGCATTGCCAAGGTCCAGTGAGGTGGCTCAGCAGGTAAAAGCCCTTGACCTGGACCTTAGCTCCATCCCTGGATCCCACATACAGGTAGAAAGAGAGAACTGGCTCCACAAAGCTGTCTCCTGGCTTCTACACATGTGCTGTGGCATGCATATCCCCACACTAAGTAATAGTAATAAAACATGAAAAGAAGGAAAGAAGGCCCAGAACCAACATCACCCTGCAGAAGGAAATAAAGTGTCCTGCTGACTGCTGTGTGGCTGCAGCCTGGACATGCCTGGCCGTGCACCTTCTGTCTTAAAGCAGGGCTTCTTCACTACAGCATGTGTTAGATTGCTGGAGCCTTGAGAAAATGTGTGTTCTGACTCAGGAGGTCTAAATGGGGCCTTGTCCACCCCCAACCAATATCAGCACTGCTGGAGAAAGTGTATTTGGTGGTAAGAACCTAGGAGTCAGATGTGGGGTTGAGTCCAGCATCACTCACTGAGCTGCTGCAGAGCATGGGAGGAGAGAGGGAGTCACTAAATCATCCACATGGACTCCGCAGAGATTGCCCCCAGCCGGAGTTCCCTCTACCAGTATTTGAAAGCCAAATACTAACATGGAGACATGTTTCTCCTCTGTGTGGCCTGTCTGTGCAGTTATTACTTCATAGGAAAACTCCTGTGTCCATGTTGTGAATTCTTTTATGGAGCAAGGGGGCATAACCAGAATATCTCTTATCGCGTTATCTCACTGTACACTTACCTGGCTCTGAAGATGGAGCAGGAGACTTTGCCACTGAAGGGAACGACAGGCCACCACCAAGCATGTGTTCCACTAGGGCTGTGTGTTTTCCTCCCGAAGGCTGGTGGACCCGGAACAAATGGTGCTGGAATGAAACTCATTCACTTTCAAGGGCCAGCATAAGTTAAAAGTCAAAATCAAACTTATAGTGTCTAGACTGAGTTTGGGCACAAGACAGGAGCTGAGTTTTCCACAGAGCAGCCCTCTGAACCATAGCATAAGGACACCAACTGACTCAGTGTGAAGTTCATGTTTTTAGTTTCACACCTTTCAGGGTAACCAGTTCTCTTTTCTCTTTTGCAGAGGAGTCATTTCCACGGTCATTTTGAAAATGACAGAGACCCAAGCTGGAGAATACTTACTTCTTATTCAGAGTGAAGCTGCCAATTACACAATATTGTTTACAGTGAGTATACGAAGTAAGTCCAGCTTGCTACTAGGTCTCCCAGTATCCCACAGAAGCATCTTAGAATCCATGGTGCTTTGACCTGCTGCTGGAGTCATGATATTCAAATTTTCAAACTTCTTTCAAAATGTGGCTGGAAGAATTAGAAAACACTTTATCCTCAGAATAAAAAAAATCCAGAATGACCTCATACTCACAGCAATCTTCCCATGTCAGCCTCCCATGTATTTAAATTACAGGCACTTGCTACCATAGCTGACTAAATGTCCTGAGTTCTCATTCTAGCTCCAGTACCGTCAGCTTTGACAGGTTGTTAAATCTCTCTGCGCCTCAACTTCCTTTTCTATAAAAGGAAGATAGACCTTTTTTACATAGACTGTACAAGCGAAGTATGATCCGACAGAACTTTCTGACACAATGAAACTGTCCTCTGTTGTCCTCAGCAGCGTAGTCCCCAACACATGTGACCACCGAACACTTCAAATTTGGGTAGTGTAACTGGGGAAACAATGCTTTAATTTGGTTTAGTGTGAATTAAAATATGAATTTAAATAGCCGCTTGTAGTTAGTGGCCACTGTGGTGGATGGTTCCGGTCTATGCAAATGAAAGCTGTAAGAACCATCCAGACTTAGGAACCCGGGTGGCAGTTGTGTGGGCAGAAGAATCACCACCAACTTGAGCTCTTTGGCTATTCATTTGGTCACAATACCCATAGGCCTTGTGTTTGCACAGAGTCAGTGCTGCTCATACCACATACCCTACTTTCCCTCCTGTGTCTGTGAAGGAGGCCGAGGCCATGTTCCACAAGCTCAGGGTTGATCCCACCTACAGCTCACTTCCCTGCTGCACACTGGCAGCACTTGACAGGCTGCCTTCTTCCTTGTTAATGATTCAGACACAAAGCTGGTGTATGGTACCGCCACAGAAAGGCCTGGTATGGAACGGCCACACTGATCTTTTGTTGAGGAGCTCTGCATGCTGCATCTCAGGTGCTCACCAAGGTTGGACAGTGTGTTGATGTGACAGACACCTGAGATGGCAGTGACAGACAAAGCCAGGGGCCCATGAGATCCGGGTCTGCAATTTCATCACCCCACATTGGGCCTGTGTGATACTTGTGGTCCTGCAGTCACAGCTACTAGCAGTGGAGAGCATGCTAGGCTCCCTGAGGGCCATTGTCTGGCATGAGGGTGGGGTGTTAGGTCACATGGTTGGCCTGCAGGGCAAAATCAGGTCAAGAGAGGATTCATCCAGTTTTTCTCTGAAAAGTCCTTTAGTGTCCTGAAACAGATAGGAACAGAACCCCGGGAAGTACACTGTCTTGTGTGGTTCATTGCCTTCAGCCTTGATCCCTGTCCCCTCCCTACCTTCTCAATCCTCTTGTGGAACAGCAAGTATGGGCTCCAGTCTGGGCAAGGATAAGAAATGTCTTGTACTCCTTCTTTCTCTCTCATTTGCCAAAACTACATAGCTGTGAAGGTGCGTGGGAGTCTTTTGTGCCCCTATTATAATTAGTGTGTCTTCCTTTCACTTAAAATTTTACACCTATGATCCTTGCACTTGGGAAGTTGAGGCAGGAGGATCCCAAGCTCAATGCCAGCCTTAGCTGCATAATGAGTTCCTGGCCAGCCTGGGCTACATGGCAAGACTCTATCTCAAAAACTAAAAATAAGGGCTAGAAAGATGGCTTAGCAGTTAAGAGCACTGACTACTCTTGAAGAGGACCTGAGTTCAGTTCCCAGCATCCACATGGTAGCTAACAACCATTTATAACTCCAGTTCCAGGGTGTCTGATGCCTTCGTCTGACCTCCATGTATATTGCATGCATGTGGTACACTTACATACATGCAGGCAAAACACTCTTACACATAAAATTCAAAAAATTGAAAAATAATTAAGGGGCTGGAGAGATAGCTCAGCAGTTAAGAGCACTGGCTGCTCTTACAGAGGACCCAGGTTCAATTCCCAGCACCCACACAGTGGCTAACAATCATCCATAACTCCAATTCCAGGGGAATCGGACATTTTCTTCTGATCTCTGTGAGCACTGCACAACATGGGTATACTTACATACACGCAGGCAATACACTCATGCACATAAAATAATTATTATTATTATAAATAAAATAAAATGTAAATGATAATGTTCAGCATTCTCTGAGTGATGGGCTTCAAAAAGAAAACATGGGAGAGCTAGGCAATATCAGCATAAAAGAGTTAACCACAAACAAAAAATTAAATCTAACCTTGTCAGTGGCCTAGAAAATAGGGTGCTTTACTTAGGAAATTAGGTTATTTTAAAAAGATTGTTCATTTATTTATTTATTTTTAGTCTTCTTGAGACAGCGTCTCCCTGTAGCCCCAGCTGTCCTAGAACTCACTATGTAGACCAGGCTGGCCTTGAACTCACAGAGATCTGCCTGCCTCTGCCTCCTGAGTGCTGGGATTAAAGGCATGCACCACCATGCCCGGCTCATTTACTTTTATCTTATGCTTATAAGTGTTTTGTCAGCATTTTAAGTGTACCACATGAATGCAATGCCTACAGAGGCCAGAAGAGGGCATTGGAATGAAGTTATGAATGGTTGTTAGCTGCCATGTGGGTGCTGCAAACTGAACCCAGATCCTCTGCAAAAGTAGCTGGTGCTCTTAACTACGCAGCCAGCTCTCCAACCAGATAGGTTATTTTTAATTCTGCATTTTTCCAAATGAAAATGGGCAAATTAGGTGAACCAAGATAGCAAAGGACTTGGAATTCCTTAAGTTAGGAGCAGGTCAGGAAACTGGGAATGCTCAGTATAATGAAGGAGGTCTTCTGGGAGTGGAGACTGGTTAGAATGAAGGAGAGGAAACTTCTGGAATGTGCATCAGAAATCTGAGATTATGCAGGAAAATACCTTGGATGGTAATTAGCTCCCGTGGCTTCAGTTTCTAGTTTAAAATGTTTAAGGGATTGTCATGTGGAAGCAAAGCAGTGATTTTTTTTTTTTTTCAGATGAGGTCTTACTGTGTAGCCCAGACTGGCCTTGAACTCGTGATTCTCCTGCTTTAGCCTCCTGCATGCACAGACTATATGCATGCACCACATACCTGGCTTCAAAACAATACTTAAAAAATGTTCTTGACATAGGGGTGTCAAACCTTCTGACATTGCAACATGATGTGGTCTACAAATGTCTTGGGTCCTACTTGGGGCTGGAGAGATGGCTCAGCGGTTATGAACACTGTTCTTGCAGAAGACCTGGGTTCAAATCCCAGAACCCACATGGCAGCTAACAACTGTCCGTTGCTCCAGTTCCAGGTGATCCGACAGCCTCTTCTGTCCTCCACGGGCATTGCACAACACAGGTGCACTAACTTACATGCAGGCATAACACTCATATACATAAAATTAAAAATAAATAAAATATTTTTTAAATGTCTTGGGTCCTACTCATAACTATCCTGGGATGCATGCAGCTTATAGGCTACAGATTGGACATGCCTAACAGAGTACAGAAATAGAACCAAGTTTAGAAGTCACAAAGGATAAAAAGGAAGAACTACCACAGAATGGGAAAAGATACTTGCAGTTTACAATCAACAACAGATTAAATAATCCTAACATGTAAAAAGTCTCTACAAATTACTAAGTGAAGCAAAACAAAAATCCCCAGTAGTCAAATGAAATGAGTGATTACTTTTTTCCTAGAACACGAAACCAGAATGCTCAAAAAAAAATGTGTGTTAAAAGATAAACAGGCATATTCAGTTTTTAAGCACTTTAGTGCAGTCCATGAAAGAGGTAATAGGAGAGTTTACAAAGAGCTCACAGAAGCAAAACAAAGAAAAGATTTGATAGGTTAAAGTGGAAAGTCCCTCGTTAGAGGTTTGTCAGCAGTTTTTATTTGGTAGAATAGGTCTAGTTATCAGTTGGTTGGCAGTTTCTGATTGGTTAGCTCAAGTTCTTTGTACTATGCTCATTGAGTGAGGTGATATTTGCTTATACGGGAACCCAGAATCCTAGCGCTGTCTCAGCGTAATGGCCTTCCAATAAGTTATCTTAATGCGTGTTAAAGTAACAACGGAGAAATCAGATTATGACCACAGTGAGATGCCAATTTAGAGCTACCAGATTTTTGAAAATGAAGAAGCTTGGGTAAGTATCCTGAACTGTAAGAATGCTGGTATTCCGCTATACAAAATGCTAGTTAATATGAACACTTTGAAAAATTGTCAGTGTGTGTAAAGCATGTAAACCAGCAGTTCCACTCACATTACTGAAGAAACTGTTAAACATGCCTCAGTAGAAATGTATGCAATGTTTATGACACCAAAATCTGCAAACAGCTTAAAGGTCCCCTTGAAAGACAGACTGATATATTTGCTGGTGGAATTCTACATAGCTGTAAAAAGTGAAAGATGTAAAGCCATATGAAGATCCAAGGGTGAGTCTTACAGCCAGATTGGGTGAGAAATGGGATTGAGTGGTGCCGTATTTTGAAACTCAAGAGCAAGATAAATTAATCTACTACTCAGGGACACATACCTGTGTGGTAAAACGATTGTTTAATTGCAAGAATGATAAAGAATTCAGGATGAAGTTTCCTAGACACCTTTTTTTTCTACTTGTGTAATTACAGTGTTTCAGAGGCATGAATGAGTCAGCCCCTGAAGCTGACCTCCAGAGAAAAGAGCCCTACATTAATCAAGGGCCTGGAACTAACGACCAAGAACTCTTCCAGGCCTGGTGTGTGGGGAGCTTACACCTGACCCACAACTTCCTAAGGTTTTTCTCTTTGGAAAAAGAAGAGGGCGGTTTAAGAAGAAATGCCTACCCCATTATCCTCAGACCCAGACTTAAATTTAAAACTGTCTGCCTAACACAGAATGAAGGAAAGCTGAGGAAGGAACCTTTCCTCAGAAAGGATGAGAAACGTGGTCCCCCAGCTAAATCTATCTTCTAAATTTGTCTCATGGCTTTCCATAAATTGGATAACAGGTCCATGAATATCTGTTGCTATTATTATGTTTCAAAATTAAGACTTCATGTATTCCTTCATAAATGTGTTTGTGTGGATGAAAAGGTACTTGTGGTTCACACCAGCAGATTAATAGCCAAAGTATGTAAAATCTTTTATAAATTAAAAAGAAGCAAAACAGTATGCAATATATAGATAATAAATATCAAGTAATACATACTTTTGGGGGACATGGTCTCCCTTTAGCCCCAGCTGGCCCAGAACTTGCTATGTAGACCAGGCTGGCCTCAATCCCATAGAGATCCATCTGCCTCTGCTTCCCAAGTGCTGGGATTAAAGGCATATGGCATCACACCCAGCAGGTAATTCATAATATTCTAAGCAAAATTTATTATAGAGATATGGGAATTAGGTATCTAATATCATCTTGGGATACAGTGAACTTCAACTCTTATAGAAGTCCAAAGCTGTAATTCAGCACTCAGGAAGCTAAGGCAGGAGAATCATGAGTTTGAAGCCAGAACTCTTTCTAAAAATTTTTATTTATTTTTATGTGTATGAGTGTATCACCTGCATGTGTGTAAGTGCACCTGTGCCATTCAATGCCCACAGAGGCTGGAAGAGGCTGTTGGATCTCCTGGAACTGAAGTTATGAACGGCTGTCAGCTGCTATGCAGGTACTGGGAATCAAACCAGGTCCTCTGCAAAAGCAGCCAGTTCTCTTAACCACTGAGCCATCTCTCCAGCCCCACCACAACTTCTCTTAAGGAGAAAAAAAAAAGTGCCCAAGCTGGAGTGGGACGTTGCAATGTAGGCCAGGTATGGTGTTGCAGGTGATTAATCCCAGCCCTGGGAAGCCAAGGCAGATGGATCTCTGTGAGTTCAAGGTCAGCCTGGTCTACATAGTGAATTCCAAGCCAGTTAGGGCTACATAGTGAGACCCTGTCTCAAAAAAAATAAAAATAAAAAAAGAAGTTACAATGTTAAGCACAGTTGGGAGTGTGTGAAAAAAGTAGAGTGTGTGCATATGTGTGTATGTGTATATATTTATGTGTGTATGTATGTGTTTGCATGTGTATGTACATACGAGTGTATGTGTGTACGTCTGTGTATGTATGTGTTCATGTGTGTATGTATGTGAATATGAGTATATGTATATCTGTGTTTGTGTATATATGTGCGTCATATATATGTGTGTGTACATATGTGTGTATGTGTGTGATCTATTCTCAATGGTGGCTAAACTAAACATCTAAAATCTGTTCCAATGTTACTCTTTCTGAATTTTTACCCCATAGTATATTTGTAGCTAGTTGTAGATGAGATTATGGGAAGAAGACTGAGTTTTAAATTTGAATGAGGGTAAGCTCTACGTTCTTGCTCATTCTTACAAAGTCGGTTCATGCTGTGTCATGTGCTTCTCCCCACTTCCCTTTGTTATCTATTTGTGAAATTCCCGAAGAAATGCCAAGAGACTAAATGTTAAAACTGGCATTGCCCTTGGGGCCGGGCATGGTGGCGCATGCCTTTAATCCCAGCACTTGGGAGGCAGAGGCAGGCAGATCACTGTGAGTTCAAGGCCAGCCTGGTCTACATAGTGAGTTCCAGGACAGCGGGGGGGACAGGGGCTCAAAAAAAAAAAAAAAAAAAAAAAATGGCATTGCCCTCAACCCTGTCTTTTGTGGGTCATGCAGTTGGGGAACCAGACTGTCTCACAAAGAACTGCCTGTCTCTATCTCCCAAGTGCTGGGATTGAAGGTCACCACACCCAGCAAAATGTTAGGTTTTTATAGGGACGTAGAATTTGTTCTTCAGGAGGCTGCTGAGACAGTGTTTTCAGCATTAATATGCTAGTATTTTGTGATGGCCTAGATCCCCAGCTATACACACTGAGGAGACCTTACTTCAGGAAAATGGAGAACCAGGATGCACTAGTCTGCATATCTGAAAGTGTTCCGGAGCCCGTTGTGGAGTGGGTGCTCTGCAGTTCACATGGGGAAAGGTAAGGTGCATGTGGAGGTGAACATTATTAGTGGTAGAATTTTAGTTGTTTTATGATGTAGTTTTTTAAAATATTTTTATTTTATGTGTATGCGTGTATTGCCTGCATGCAGGTGAGTGCATCCGTGTCATGCAGTGCCTGCGGAGGACAGAAGAGGCTGTATGATCCCCTGGGACTGGAGTTATGGACAGTTGTTAGCTGCCATGTGGGTGCTGGGATTCAAACCCGGGTCTTCTGCAAGAACAACCAGTGTTCTTAACTGCTCATACTGTATATAAAATATGATTTTCTCCACATTTCAACAGAATAGCTGCTATGGGTGTCACTGGGAGGAAGGTGAATGTGTTTTGGTAGGAGGGACTTTGAAGACTCATCAAATTAGCTGCAGGTCCTCCCCAGCCATGACACTTGGCTGCAGGTCCTCCCCAGCCATGACACCTGGCTGCAGGTCCTCCCTAGTCATGACACCTGGCTGCAGGTCCTCCCTAGTCATGATACTACAAAAGAAAAGACCTTTTAAATTACAGATTTTTGGATCCCAGAGCATTGGGGGAAAACTATAACATCCTTCTAAGTAAAAAATTCCCTAAGTAAAATTAATTCCCTTAATTTGCGATTGTTGTTTATTCTGGAGAGGTGGTTTATCTAAATGTTAAGGAGAGGGAATCTAGTGCCTGAAAGCCTAGCTTTGAACCCTGGTTTTCTTACCAGCTGTGTGGCCTCAGACAAGTTAACTTCTCTGTGCCTCATCAGAAGAATGGGGATGGAAGAAAACCAAACAAAATACACAAATTTTAAAAAGAAGAAAAAAATGGGATTCTCAGATGATTAAGTGAGCTGGTTTGTGGCACCACCGAGCCTTGCCTGGCAGGTACTCAGCACAGAGGAAATGTCTACTTTTGCTTTTCATTGCTGCTAGAGCTGTTCCCACTGAGCAGGAACCCATGCAGTTTCAACTACTAAAATCTACTAATTTGCTAAAAATAAATGGGACAAAATAGGAAAGAAGAAAAGTAAAAAATACTATTAATGCAATCTCAAATTTTAGGAGGAAAAAACCAGTTTTCTGAAACAATATATGTAAGTGTGTAACCATGAAGAAAATTCAACTGTTGTTTAAAAGGAAGAATGCGCGTGCGTGCGTGAGTGCGTGTCCGTGTGCATGTGCGTGTGCGTGTGCGTGTGTGTGTGTGTGTGTGTGTGTGTAGAGAAAAGGTTGGAAGCATACGCATCACTGTAATGACAGGGTGACAGGAAGTTGGTAATTTAAAGTTTAAGGAACTTAAGGAAGCTCGTAGACACAAAAAGGAGCGCACCCGAATCAAGGGAGAAAGATGACTGACAAGAGCCGCCAAAGCCACTCTCTTCTGGGATGCCACGTTAGGGGTTTCCTGCTGAGGCAGGCATATATCACTGCTGAACACTAAGTGGTCTGGGCGTCTTCCCTGGGGGTGAAACCTCGGCTTTCCTTTTCAGTTTGCTTTGGGAACTCACGCGACTGCCTTTGGCAACTTCGGCCTCTCTCCTCCTTATCGTCCTCATCTGCCCTTGGAAGAAAAAGCTGCCCATCTTGTCCAGCTGCATCAAAGCCCAGCCATACTTCTTTCTTCTGTCTTCTTTTTCAGTTCTTCATTGTCTTTAAATGATTTTTAAAAGTCACTAAGCATTTGTGTTTGGTGGCACGCACCTGTAATCCCAGCACTCAGGAAGCTGAGACAGCGAAAGCACTGCAAGTTCAAGGCCAGCCTGGGCTATACAGTGAGTTTAGGACCAATCTGTACTACATGGTGAGACCCTGTCTGGAGGGGGAAAAAGTCACCAAGCAAAAGACAATCTAAAGTATTGTATAATATAATTGAATATAATATTCAAGTTAGATACTGAATAGCTAGTTAGTGCCTAAGAATCCCAGGAAGAAACCACAAATTGAGCTTCTTTACTTTTTGACCTACTATTTTCTTTGATGCCTTAAAATAAGCTGTGTGACTTTGTTCTGCTAAACATGAGTTTTCTTCTCTAGTGCTGGGATTGAACCCTCACACATGCTATGTAAGCATTCTACCCTGAGCTATGCTATTAGTCCATATTTGTCATTTAAAAATATTTAGTGAAGGTAATTTATTTTCTGATTGCAGTTGTAAAGAAGAAAGTCCAGCTGTTGTTAAAAAGGAGGAAAAGGTACTTCATGAGTTATTTGGAACAGACATCAGGTGCTGTGCAAGAAATGAGCTGGGCAGAGAATGTACCAAGCTGTTCACAATAGGTAACACTGGAGTGACATGTGCTTCTATTTTAGTGACTATTCCTTGGAATACTATTTGGGTCTAACAGCACCTGCTTAAGTAACCATTCAACTTCAGAAATTCTTTTGCTTTTATACCATTTTGGTTTTTTAAAATATTTTTATTTTACGTGTATGAGTATATTGCCTGCATGTATGTAAGTACACCCATATCATCCAAAGCTCACGGAGGCCAGAAGAGGACGTCAGATACCCTGGAACTGGAATTACAGATGGTTGTTAGCTGAGATGTGGGCACTGGGAATTGAACAAGGCACCTCTGGAAGAGCAGCCAGTGCTCTTACCTGCTGAACTATTGCTCCATCTCTTTTTTTTTTTTTTAATTTAGGTGCTGGGCTCAAACCCAGGCCTTGTGCTGAGTACATGCTGCATCACTAGTTCCACTCCAGACCCCTCACACCATTTTATTACATTTATCTGTGTGTGTGTGTGTGTGTGTGTGTGTGTGTGTGTGTGTGCACGTACCTATGAATGCTATGGTGTGCATGTGAAGGTCAGAGGAGAACTTGTGAGAGACAGTTCTCTCCTTACACCATGTGGGTCCTGGGGATTGAACTCTAGTAATCAGTCTTGGCAACAAGCATCTTTATTGGCTGAACCATCTCAATGGCCCCTTCATACCATTTTCAATGTAATATGGATTCTGTAAGTGTTGATTTCTTCACTGAAAAATATTCAGTCTCTGGAAGATGGTTTTATTGTGTTATTTTATTACTGTTTTGCTTTGTGGTTCTGGGGTTGGACCAAGCCTTTACTAGGTTAGCCTCTACCATTGTGCTTAAATTCAGCCCAGGATTATAGATTATTAATTTCATTGGTAACATTGGCAGTGTTACAACCTTTGTTCTTTAGAATATTCAGCACATACTTTGAGATAAGGAAAATTACATGTATTTTTCTTATTTGGGAATTTTTTTGATCTTCTAGATCTAAATCAGACTCCTCAGACCACACTACCTCAATTATTCCTGAAAGTGGGGGAACCTCTGTGGATAAGATGCAAAGCTGTTCATGTGAACCATAGATTTGGGCTCACCTGGGAATTAGAAAACAAAGCCCTGGAGAAGGTAATGACACCATTCATATTCTGAAAACACAGGACAAAGAGCTAGCAGTACAGGCTGAAAACATTAAATGGAAACTCTGTTTTATTAACACCCAGGGCAGCTACTTTGAGATGAGCACCTATTCAACAAACAGATCTATGATACGGATTCTGCTGGCTTTTGTGTCGTCAGTGGGAAGAAACAACACTGGCTATTATACTTGTTCCTCTTCAAAGCATCCCAGCCAGTCAGCTTTGGTTACCATCCTAGGTAATTCGGGCGGTTTGTGAAATCTTTTACTTATATTTTTAGCTGCTTTTAGTGTGGAATGTGAAATATGCAGCCTAGATTTGATTTCAGTGTTATGTTTCCAACCAAAAGCCGAAAAAGAAACTGAGAACAGCTTGGCCAGGATAAGCCACCCACTGCTTTCCCCTTCGGGTTCAGCCATGCTCTCTTGGATACCCCTGTCTTTGCTTATGCTACATTGTAATGGAACCATCTGTTTGCCTAACTTTGTCCTTAGACACATAGTAAGATTCCTAAGGGTAGGACAATCCCTTTTATCCTTATAATCCCAGAGCCTGATGCTAGAAAGTGCCTAATAAATACTTGTTCTGAGGCTGGAAAGATAGCTCAGCAGTTAAGACTATGTACTGCTCTTCCAGAGGACCCAAGTTCAAATCCCAACAATGTGCATTTTTGGACAACTCACAACTGCCTGTAATTCTAGCTTCTGGAAGATCTGCTCTCTCTACCTTCTGAGGCCACTTGCACATACCCACACACAAACCTACATATAAATGCATGATAAAAAATACAAATACTTGTTCTGAGAAAATGCTTAGTGAGTTACAACTGTGAGAACTGCTCACACACTGAAGCGAATGGAAATTAGGATGGACCTGAGAACTTCAAAATGGGTACACTTAAGTAATGTTGTATTAGAGTGCAGGCCCACAATGAATAAGCAAAAGCATACAGCACTCTTATCAGACTAATATGCAAGTGGCAACAGCCTTGCCATACTGTTGACCATATGGCTCTCTCATTTGTTCCTGAAGCTTATTTAGCATGGGACCCATCACTAAGAGAATTGATCAGACAGAGAACATAACCTTCCAAACTCTGTCCCTTATGTCTGCAGGTTTGGCTGGAAGTGAAGAAGCCCTTCAGCCTCTTGAAATTGTCTGCAAAATCTGGAGTTTATTTAGATACTTGTCTGAGTAGACAAGTGCATTTAAAAATATTATATTTATTTTAATTTTATGAGTATTTTGCCTGCATGCATGCATGTGCACCATGTGCATGCCTGGTGCCCAAGGAGGCAAGAAGAAGGTGTCAGATTCCCAGGAACTGGAGTTACAGATGGCTGTGAACTGCCATATGAGTGCTCAGAACCAAACCTGGGTCCTCTGCAAGAGCAGCAGGTGATCTTAGCCACTGAAGTATGAATCCAGCCCCTACATCCCATTCTTAATAAAATCTTCACTATAAAGGTTATGAGCTCAGTTTGAGAGCTGAGATGGAGATGCCTGTGGTTCTTGGACTAGCAAGCCCAACTTCCAGCAAGTCAGCATCTGAGTTCTCTTGCATTAATCTGACAAAAAAAAATTTAATTATTTTACCATCCTAATAACACTTTCATATAAATTTGAATATCTAATTTGTAAATGCTTTTTTTTTCTTTTTACAGAAAAGGGATTTATAAATGCTACCAGTACACGGGAAGAGTATGAAATTGACCAGTATGAAAAGTTCTGCTTTTCTGTCAGGTTTAAAGCATACCCACAAATCCGATGCAGATGGACTTTCTCTCGGAAATCATTTCCCTGTGAGCAAAGTGGTCTTGAAGATGGATACAGGTAAAGCAGCTAAAAGCTCAGAGACTCATCTTTTGGGCACAGTTCTTCCTTGTTGCCTTTGAGGACAGTTTTATATTTGTGGAGGTGAATTGTCCTATGAGTTTATGTGTATATATACATATACCTTTTTTCCAGTACTGGGAGTTGAACCCAGGGCCTTGTACATGCTAACCAAGCACTCCACCACTGAGCTGTGAACCAGCCCCATGAGTCTGAGTTTCTTACTGAATGAGAACTGAAGGCTGAAAGCAAACAGCACACTGTGAAGATACTGTGGCTGTCTTAAACATGGCTTCTGGAGAAAAGCCTGCTGCACAAATAGAACCCTATCAGCATTAGCACAGCTCTCAGTATTTTGAGTTACAAGGTTGTCACTTCCTGTTTGAGTGCTGTGCAGTACTCTGACATTCCCTGAGCATATTTGTAAATGATGGAGGAAGTAAAACTTCTTAAAAACAGGAAAACATTGCCTATAGGTGTATTGATTTACATTTTCAAAAATAAATGCAAGGCCGGGCGTGGTGGTACATGCCTTTGATCCCAGCACACGGGAGGCAGAGGCAGGCAGATCTCTGTGAAATCAAGGCCAGCATGCTCTACATAGCAAGTTCCAAGTCAGCTAGAGCTACAGAGACCCTGTCTCAAAAAAACAAAATAAAAAGAGCGTGGAGGCGCACGCCTTTGATCCCAGCACACGGGAGGCAGAGGCAGGCGGATCTCTGTGAAATCAAGGCCAGCATGCAGGCAATACATTGCATACACATAAAGTAAAAATAATAAATAAAATATTTTTTAAAAAAGAAAAGAGAGAAGAATATAAAATACCTCATTAATTTTCATTTTGATTAGCTGTTAAAATGCTGGTATTTTAGGTATTTTAGCTGAGTTAAATAAGTCAGCTATTAAACTTAATTTTGCTCTTTTTTTAACTTCATTTACATAGCTAGTTGGGAATTTTATTTCATTTACTTATATGTGTATGAATGTTTTGCCTGCTTGTCTATAAGTGCATCAATGTATGCAATCCTCTCAGAGGTCAGAAGAAGGCATCAGATCCCCTGGAACTGGAGTTAACAGATGGTTGTTAGCTGCCATATAGGTGCTGGAAACTGAACCAGGGTCCCCTGGAAGAGCAGCCAGTGCTTTTAACCACTGAGCCATCTCTCCAGCTCCTAACTGGGAATTTTAAAATGGAGTATATGGCTTATGTTCATGGTTCATATTGTATTTTATTGGATAGCTCTGGCCTTTGGTGTTTGTGAATTGTAGGAGTTGAATTCTCTTTACCTTGATTCTACTAAATATTTGTTTCATGGTTACTATGCCTTTTTTTGAGACAGGGTCTCACTTTGTAGCCCCAGCTGGCCTGGAACTTCCTATATAGACCATGTGGTCTTGAAATCACAGAGACCCACCTCTGGAGTGTTGAAATTAAAGTCATGTGCCACCATGCCCAGCACACTGTTGTATTTTTTATTCCTAGAAATTATTTGTAACTGGTCTGTGATTTAGGGGGTGGTACTGGGATTGGACCCAGCTAAACAAATGCTCTACCATTGAGCTACAGCACCATCCGTGTTTGGATTTTTTTTTTTTTTTTTTTTTTTTTTGGGGGCAGCTGGTCTCCCTGTAGCCCCAGCTGGCCTAGATTCACTATGGAGACCAGGCTGGCCTCAAAGTATGTGTGTGTGTGTGTGTATGTGTGTGTATGTGTGTGTGTGTGTGTGTTTTGTGCACATGTGCAAAGGCCAGAAGTCAATGTTGGGTGTCTTCTACCACCCTTGACTGTTTTTTGAGACAGAATCTATCATAAATCTTGGAGCTCACCAAGAAAACCCCAGGATCTGCCCATCTCTGCCCTGCCACACACACTAGGGTTTCAGTAGCACTCTGCTGCTCCCAGCTTTTACGTGCTGGCAATCTGAACGTAGGTACTCATGCTTTCGTAGCAAGCATTTTACCCACCGAGCCATCTTGGTAGCTCCTTGTTCGGATTTTTAAAGAGTTATTTTACAGGGATTGCAAAGAACTATCTACTTTCTCTTGCCCAAACCTAGCGTTCAAAGGATTCACAGTCAGGGTGATTAAGAATGCAGCATTCGGCCTGTGTACTGCTGAATACAGGTAACTCAGCATTTCACAACAGCAGCAGACTCAGCATGCTGGCATCTTGGGCTAAATAGTCAGTCTCCTGTTGTGCATTGTAGAAAATCTACCAACATCCCTGGCCTCTACTCACTGTAAGCCAGTAGCACATCTAACTTCTCCCAGTTGTTACAACCAAAAGTATCTCCAGTGCCCTCTGGTAGGAAAAATGGCTGTTAACTAAAAAAACCACTGCTTTAGAAGACCCGCCCATTGTTATAAGCGCCTACTCAGAACCTAAAACTTCCAGAATTCATGGATCAGGAAGGGAGCCGACTCTGCCTGCCCTGCTTGAACTGATTTACCACGTGGCCTGCGTTCAGAAGGGTATCAGGATTACTGGCAGTGTGTCATCTAGCACAGTGGCAGAGACATTCCTGGTGTTACAGGACTCTCTCGAATCTGGCTCAAGCAGGTAAAGGAGGGATTAAATTTAGTTTAACAATGTCCCTTTAATACCTTCTTACTGGGTTTGGTGTTATGAGGGGCTAGGAGAGTCAGTAAGGTATAGCTGCTGCCCTTCTCCCACTGAAAGGACACACACTGTTGCTATGTTGGTGACATACTACAGAGTGGTGTCTCTGCCATGCAGACCAGGGCCAATCTAATGGGCTGGTTAGTTTAATTCCATCCCATGGCCACAATCAGCACTGCTGAGCCCAATAGCTTTCTTGTAGGGGTCTCCAGGTGAATGACAAGCTTGTATTGTTCTGGGTCTTGCTCATTCCCATTTACCTGGTAACGTAGCTGTCTTTCTGTATGTGCAGTCTTACTTCTGAGTTTATGGTCTCCATAAAGATGGGTGCTCTGTCATTTCTCCATCTCTGTGCAATGCCTCGTTCAGGAAATGTGTGTGTCAATCAGTGAATGAACTCATCGTCAGTTCTAGACATCACTTCTTGGAGAAGTCTGAGTTGTGGTGTCCTCTGTGCACCACACATGGCACTTACCACAGCATCTAATTCTGAGTTTGTTACCTGAAAGTTCCCAGAGAGGGTATTGATGTGCCAGGTGTTATGAACCACTGAACTCCTGAGGCAATGGAGAAGACTGATCTCTCTCAAAGTACTGAACGAAAGCTGAATCATGAGAAATTTGAACTCATTTTGGAATGTTCCACAGGTCTTTTTCTCTGTGTCATAAGCGCTGGGTTGAGGCAGGAGGTGGCATGAGCTCTTTTCAACTTTTGATGATAAAAAGTTTGAAATTTACTAATAAGCCAAAGGGATCAGCATCCCTGACCAACCACTAGATTCAGCAGTTTAACTGAGCTGAGTTGGGGTGGTGAAGCACAGTGATGTTTAGGGAGTGGCAGGAAGGTTTGGTTTTTGTTGTTGCTGTTAATGTGTTTAAGAGCACAACGCCTGCAGAAACCCTGATGTGGTCGTGGTATGTGCCAGTTTCTCAGCTTCCCAGCCTTCCCAGCTTCGTTTCTGCAATTTACTTCCTCAAATGCCGCGCCAAGGTTTATTAAGTCTTGCCTTTCTGTGCTTACATTTGATTAAACGGCAGTTTCTCAGCTGTCCTGGTGTCCTGCTCTTGTAAAAGGTTGCAGGATATTTTGCACATTAGTTTGCATGATTACCTATACTTAATAGTAAACACATCTGCATTAGTTCTATGGTAGAAAAAGAGATTGTCATAATTCTTCAGTAATCTCTTCTGAAATCTTTGCCCTTTTCTTGTTCACTCTTCCACGAATCTCAGTGCTCTCCCTGCCAGGCCCTCATTGAGTGGGTCCAGGGTGAAGCAGCAAGGCTCTGTGTGTGTGTGTGTGTGTGTGTGTGTGTGTGTGTGTGTTGTGTACGTTCTAGATGACCAACCAGAGACTGCTTGGGACAAGAACGTACAGAAAAGTGAGCTCCCAAATACGTTAGAAGCTTCCTGGCAGGATCTGTGGCAGAACTGATATTTTCCTTTTTCTGGGGAGTCAAGCCTGAGTGCATATAACAAAGGAAAGAAAAGATGTTTGCATCAAGAGAAAGACCAAGAAACCCAATGAAGTCTTGTCTCCCTTTATTCCTGCTGCTTGTAACAGTGTTCCTGGCTCCTTTTTGTCCTGAAGACCCCCACTCCGCTGTAAGTTACCAGCCACATTGTCACACCACCAACTACAAGACACTTTTAGCTCTTCCTCTGTGTCAGCATGCAGAGGCCCTGGCATGATCACCTCACTCTCTCACTGTCTCAGGGACATGGAAACAACTACAGAGGCAAAGTCAGTACCCTTCGCTCAGTCCTAGTTTCTGATAGGGCCTTTAACAAGTCAAAAGAGGGCTGGAGAGATGGCTCCATAGTTAAGAACACATACTCCTCTTGCAGAGGATCTGAATTCAATTCCCAGTAGTGACATTGGCAGCCCACAACCACCAGTAACTCCAGTTCTAAGGGATTAGACACCTCTGACCTTCATGGGCATGGGATGTCATGTCCACATACCCACATGTGCACATATACACACATACTTAAAAATAATAAATCTTTTTAAATTACATTTTAAAAAGTCAAAATACCACCCATAATTCCATCTCCAGAAATTATACTGCAGACTGTGCGGCCCCCACTATAGAAACATGAGACGTATTTGTACAAATATGAAATTGTGCCATTTCAATCTGCATTTCCTTCAAATATGTGTCTTTAATTTGACAGTTGTATTATTATATCTTAGTTGTCCTTTTGTTTTGTTTTTGGAGACAGAGTCTCACTATGTAGCCCTAGCTAGCCTGGAACCTGCTAGCTGGGATTGCAGGGAGAGGCAACTCCCTGGCTGTGCTTTCTTCATCTTTCTCATGCTTCTTGACATCAACTCATTTCAGAAGTGTGAGGTTCTCCAATGTAGGCCAGGCTGGCCTCTACCTCGTAGAGATCCACCTGCCTCTGCCTCTGGAGTGCTGGGGTTAAAGGTGTGTGCCACCACACCTGGCTTATATCTTAGTTATCATTTTAATGGCTGCATAGTGTTCTGCTCTTTTAAAGCTTTTACTTTAGCCAGCTTGTGTTGATAGGCATTGACTTTAAATTTTTTTCCCTTGTATATTTCTTTTTATTTTAATGTTATTCTTCAAATTGTTGAGTCAATAATTTACACATTTCCTTTTATGTAAAATGATTCCTATATTTGATGTGTTGTATCATTGACAGCCTACCATATATACTGTGTTTACTGTGTGCTTGTTTTTATTTTATGTATAAGGGAACTAAGGCATAAAGAGGTTAAGTGACTTGTTCAAGCTTACAGCCCTGGGCAGTGGCAGAGCTGGGATTGCAGGGAGAGGCAGCTCCCTGGCTGTGCTTTCTTCATCTTTCTCATGCTTCTTGACATCAACTCATTTCAGAAGTGTGAGGTTCTCCAATCCAATGAATAGGAGAACAGAAATGGCCTGGGCCGAAGTGTACCTCAGCACTTAATCTAGTATGTATAAGCCTTGGATTACATCTCCAGTATTGCTAAAAAGAAAGTAGAAATGCAAGCTGTGATGTAGCTCAGTAGTAGAGTACAACGTCCTGGATTTCATTCCCAGTCCACAAGAAGTAAACACATACACACACACACACACACACACACACACACACACACACACTTAGGTTATTAAAAAATAAAAGAATGTTTTCAACATGTACAAGATGTACCATGCATTGCTATTGAATTTTTTTTTTAATTGAGACAAGGGCCCACTATGTAGCCCAGGCTGGCCTTGAACTTGCTAGCCTCCTGTCCCGCATCATTATTGGTGAGATTACAGGTGTGCACCATCATGCCAAGCAACTGTTAAATTTTTCATGACTATATATCTCCAGGCTTATTAGTGTCCCTTGAAATAGAATAAAAATAGACATTATACAGAGACACATGAAATCATAGGATTCCCCCCCCCGCCATATTTTCCTGACAGCATAGAAATCAAAACAGGTCAGGTTTGAATGTTGCCAGGCTGGGCACACAGCCCAACTCAGGTGCTTGAGTTTACAGGACCCCCAGGTTGTCCTTCCCTGATGAGGAAAACCACCCACAATGTGGTCAGCCCTTCCTTCTCTGCTTTGAAAAGCTCTCAGCTTCCCTAATATGCGCTTTGTTATTCTCTGCCCTCTCGCTGGACTTTGTGAACCCTTTGCTCTTTAGATAAAGCATTCTTTATGAATTGAAAGCTCCTGCTTACCTTTCTTTTTACTTAATTTTTGTTGCATTTATGTATTTATTTATGTGTGTTTGTATGTATGTGTGTAGGATTGCAAACACATGGGCACCACAGGGTATATGTGGAAGTCAGAGGACAACCTGTGGGAGTTGATTTTCTCCTTCCTCTGTGTGGGTCCCAGGGATCAAAAACAAATCCTTGGTCGTGGTAGCACATTTACCTGCTGAGGCATCTCCTCGGCCTTCCTTTCTACCCAGTCATATTGTGCATGCTCTTTTTTTTCTTTAATCTTCAAGTAAACTATGGTCTAATTAAATATTTTCTCAGGAGAGAGTGACGAGGGAGACAGATTAAAACAAAGATAAATGACACATGTGTGTGGAAATGTCATTACACAAGCTTTTTACTAGCTTAGTACTTTTTAAAAAAATATTTTATTATTTTTATTCTATGTGTACGTGTGTATTGCCTACATGTAGGTAAGTGCACCCATGTCGTGCAATGCCCACAGAGGACAGAAGAGGCTGTCGGATCCCCTGGGACTGGAGTTACGGACAGTTGTTAGCTGCCATGTGGGTGCTGGGATTCAAACCCAGGTCTTCTGCAGAAACAGTGTTCTTAACCGCTGAGCCATCTCTCCAGCTCCTAACTTAGTACTTTTACTAACTTAAAAAATAACTTTTAAAAAATTTTGAGATAGAGTCTCATTATGTAGGCCTAGCTGGCCTGGAATTCGCTATGTAGACCAGGCTAGCCTCAGATTCACAGAGATCCACCTGCTTCTGCCTCCCAACTACTGGGATGAAAGGAATGTGCCACTACACCTGTCTCAAAAAAAAATTTTTGTTAAAATAAAATTTTAAAAATATGGTTCCCCAAAGGGACTTGGAGAGATGGCTCAGTGGTTAAAAGCACTGACTGTTCTTGCAGAGGACCC